GCAGTGGGATGTTAAAAAGGTTTGAATATGATACTAATAATATTAGTGGAATCAGTATACCTAATGAGTTATTCGCTACTAGAGACTCTTGACTTTTGCTACGTTTTAGGCCTTTGAATTTTAATTGCCTTTTATAATTATGAATTTAATTAGTACATGTACTATTACGCCCATTTACAAATTAGAAAGAGATTTAAAAAAAAAACTAACACTGAGTTCAATGCCACTAAAAATATTCCGTTAATGAAATAAAATTATTTTGTTTCTACTTTAATTAAACACATCGTACATCTGATTTATCCAAACCTCTGGTTCATTATAGCATATTATGTTACGCCTGCATTATGTCAGTTTATTTGTTAATTACCGCTTATATTATATAGATGTATTCATTGACTTAAAAGAGCTTTTGTCACTACAAATTACAGTGCAAATTCGATTCTAATTTTTTTCAGCCCTTTTTAAATGTCCTACCACCTACAATACGAGGGGGATCACACCATAGTCCACCACGCTGGTCAAGTGTGGGTTAGTGGACTTCACATGTCTTTCGACAACTTTCTAGGTTCCTTCAGATATGCAGGTTTTTTAAAATGTTTTCTTTCACCGTAAGACAAGTGGTAATTATGTTAGAAATGATTCGCACATGAAAATATGAGAGGTGCGAGACCCGGGATTTGAACCCGTTTCACTCGATTTCCCAAGTGGACGTGTTACCGGGCTAAAAGTCATGGAAAACTTAAATTCTTTTCTTTACCAAACTATAGCTTCGTCTGTCATTATAATCCATACTATTATAATAATATAATACGCGGAATTTGTTCACAATTTCAACGGTTTTCATTTTTTTTGCGCGGTACCCTGATACTTTTTCTAAAATAAAAGTAGCCTAAGTTACTCTTTATAACACCAGCTATCTGCTAGTGAATGTCCCATCAAAATCAGTTCAGCCGTTTCGGAGATTAACCGGAACAAACAGACAGACGGATAAACAAAAATTTTAAAAAATCTGTTTTTCTTATAAGTACCGTATATAATTTCATATGCATTTAGTAAAAAGCTGTTATTTTGACATTACAAACAGACACTTCTATCTATTTGTTTAGATGTGAAAGTAACTCTGTCTGTTACCTTCACTACTTAACCGCTAAACAGATTTCGATAAATTTTAACATAAAATAGTGACCAATATCTCAAAATGCAGTAAACATAACTGACAAAGAATTCAAAATAGGGTTAACACAGTCTGCAAACTAATTTGAATGAATTGGCCTAAACTTGTATATTAAATTATTTTCTATATTTATTGCATGGATTTTATTACGTATAAAACGTTTATTGGATGTAGTTTAGAGTTTGAATCCTGCAATAATCGCATGCGACATGCATCATGTAATAAAGCGCTCTAATTTCAATATAATTTTATGTAATATGAAATATAAAATCATAAGATTGTTTGTTGTTGAAAAGAATTGCATTAGTATTAAAATCGAAATTTACTTTACTGTACCTAATATACAATACGTGTTTGTAAAATATATTTGAATATACAATCTCACGCGAAATAACGTCAAGGAGAATGAAAATTCTAAACACCTTCGACGACACGTTTGGCTTAGTTTGTAGTGATCCTACTCGCTGTGCCAGCGTTCGCGGGTTCGAGTCCCGCTGGGGGCATTCATTTGTGTGATGAGCACGAATGTTTGTACTCCAGTCGTGGGTGTAACAATATTTATAATATGTATGTATTTAAAATTATATATGTAGTGTATCAACTATCTGGTATCCATAACACAGGCCTCGTAGCTTACCGTGGAACTAGATGGTGCTGTGTGTTAATGTCCCAACATATTACATATTACATTACAAAACAAACTGTGAATAACTAAAAAGCCACTTTGAATCTGTTATTCAAATAAAATTCTCTGATATTCCATACAATGACTCAGATACCAATAAGTGCTTCACAATTTTGTTTCAGTTGAAGCTCGTTAAAAATCGAAGTGCAATTTTACAAACGGAAGTTGCATCGCCGTCATCGTTAGTTCCTATAGAAACCTCGTTGAGTGCTTTGATTTGTCACAGATTATAAAATGTCTGTATTTTTTAACGGTAAATATAATTATTTTATTGTTCTTCTGATGATATTGTTTTTACAATATAATGGGATCATTAATTTAAATTTCCTACAGTAAAAACGTTTCGTAAACAGAATTATTAAGCGAGTTAAAACTTTGGGTTTCACTATGAGATGTGATCTCATTTTCAAAATGATTACCACTTGCTAATATGAAGGAATATATATTGTTCTATCGAGATAGACATGTAGTTTGCCAAGCCACATATGGCCAGCGTGCCCTACTTCGCATTGCATTTCGAGAGTGTACGGTATAAATTAATGATACATATTTTAAGATTTTTTGTATGTTTGTTAGTAAAATTTACATTTACAATTCATTTTAGCCAGTTAAATAATATATGTTGTTTAGTTTGTTTACCATTGAGTAATGTAATTCTTCAACCTGCATGACCCTATAAGTAGTAGAAATTTTTAATGACTGCAAACTTTAAAGAAAGGTAGGAGTGAAATCACAGACAGTAACGTATCTACCGTATCTCTAAAGCAAATGTTCAAGATGCCATCATCTATCATGATTCCATATTTTATCCACACGCAAACCTAATCTATACATAATATAATAAAATTTTAACTAAGCCGAATCTGTACATTAAATATTTTTTAGTAAATCTTATTGAAATAAACTTTATTATCGATACAGAGGCCGAATCTATAGTTTTAGAATTTTTGTTTGTGTGTCTGTCTGTCTGTCTGTTACCGCATCACAGAAAAACTACTAGAGGGATTTTGATGAAATTTGGTATGGTGATAGCGGGTTATCCGGGTCAACATATACTTTTTACCGCGGGAATAAATCTCATTTTTGAGAAAAAATACAAAAACTGCAATGTAAGCGTACACTAATATGTAAAAACCTAAGAATTTGGTCTTCGATCATCTGAACGCGGGCGGAGCCGCGGGCAATGCTAGTAAACTTAATAATATCATAAAGAACACACATTAGTCATGATATATTGTGAAATCCCAACGGCTAGACGAATAAGCCAAATAACTTTTTTCCTCTATTACGATTTTCAGAATATTTTGCTTACAATAGTCTCAAAGGAATTAAACTGTAAATGTTTTTTGTTTCGTATTTTATAGCTCGCTTTCACTCGATTCAATTTTCTATTCACTGTTTTTGGTGTTTACATGAACCGCTCTACCTCTACCGGTAAATATATTTTGCAAGATCTATAGGATTAAGCCAAATGTTATATCAAAATTATCTATACTAATATTATAAAGAGGCAGATTTTGTTTGTTTGAACATGCTAATCTCAGAAACTATTAATGCGATTTGAAAAATTCTCTTTGCCTAATTATCTTATTAAACAATTTTGCACAATTATTTTTAATGTCTTCAGTCCTTTTTGATGTCCATTTGTAGGTCCGTAGTCCGTTCCATTAGTTTTAGGGCTAGGCCTACTATGCGATCAGGCAATATCCACAAATCTCAAATATGCAGGCTTACTCACGATGTTTTCCTTCGTATGAGACGAACATGTAAATATCAAAGATGCAAGGACCCGGAATTTGAACTGGTTTCACTTTGTTTCCCAAGCTAGCGCGATACCACTGAGCTACCACTGCCAATGCTTTTTAATGAATAGGTAGAAATACTTCAAACGTGTCAAATAAATTCTACATCTAAAAGCGACTAATTAATTATTTTTAAAAGGTATAATGAAATCTTTACTAATATTATAAAGAGGAAAGATTTTATTGGTTAATTGGTCGTGCCGTGAGCTCCGAAACTACTGAACCGATTTAGATGAAATTTAGTAAGAAGATAGTTTGAGACCCTGGAAAGGACATAGGATAGATTTTATGCCCATACAGAGGAAACAACCTAGGGACATACCCAAGCGAAGTGTGGGTAAGCCAGTGAATGTATAATCTCATTTGGAAAAATAGGCTAAAAAGTGTTTAAAGTTAAACAACCCAACATTAAAGCTTCAGAATATTAATTTCACGCACACTGAACATGTATGCAAAATTCAAGTGCTATCAAACCATGCTTTAAAACTTTACCTAATTTCGATAGCATATCCCTCTCGTGTACAGTTGAAAGTTGCGAACTAGAGCTTATCCTATCTAAGGCTTATCGATGTACAAAATTATACTGTGTAACTTAAAAATTAATTCTGATTATAAGCTTCTACGTAAAAGCTAGTAGTATTAAAAATTTTCATTCTAATTTACTTTTTTTATTTATATAACATAGATCAATAAATGCGAAGTGTAAATAAATCTATACATATAATAAAATTCTGAGTCGAATCTGTAGGTACATTTAATTATTTTTTGGAAAATCTTAATGAAATTAGTTATTTTTGTCTAATATACGTATAGTCCGACTTCAAAAAAGAGTAGGATTGAGTACATCATCTTCAATATATACCTGGAATAATCCAGTCAGATAAGGTTACTAAAAGTAATAATTAATGTGTACTAATACTATAAATATATAAATAGGCAGTGGTAGCCCTGTGGTAACGCGCTTACTTGGGAAACTGAGTGAAGCAGATTCAAATCCCACGTCTCGCACCTCTGATATTCTTATGAGCGAATCATTTCCAACTTGATTATCACTATTGCCTTACGGTGAAGGGAAACATCGCGAGGAAACCTACATGTTTGAGAGAACTTAGTAAGTTTTTGAAAGACATGTCAAAAGTCCGCCAATCCGCAATTGGCCAGCGTGCTAAATTATGGAGAGATCAGGCTTCGTATTCTTAAGGCGAAAAAGGCATTTTCCCAGCTGTGGGACATTAAAAAGATCTGAAAGAGAATTAGGTGGTGTGGTGGGAACGTTTTTCTAACTTTAAATATTGTTCTAGCGAAATAAGTATAATGAATCTGTGTGTTTTTGTTTCAGATTCAAAACGAGACCACTGTAACAAGACTGTGGAAATATATGAGGATGTGTCGTCGCCGCCGGTGACGCCAGAGAACTTCGGCCGACCTCTCACTTGTACATATAGGTTAGGAATACTTTGAGATAGTAGCGTTTACTTCTAGCTTCTTTGCTTGTAAATTATTTCATGATTTTATTGTTTGATTCTTTGAATTGAAGTTCTTAGCAGGCCGTCAATATTTTTAGGGTTTTGCACCACAAGGGTGCTAACAGGACTCTATTACTAAGCATCTGCTGTCCGTCCGTCCATCAGGGGTTATATCTCATGAACCGTAATAGGTAGAGATTTGAAATTTTCAAAGAGTGTGTATTTATATTACCGCTATAACAACAAATAAAAATTAAAAGAAGATGGCGATTTTCAAAATGGCAGCCTTGCAAATATAAAAAGAACGATTAGTACATAGTGTATATATCTTGTAGGATATTACACATCCTTTCCTAGGCGAGTTCCACTCGCATTTGACCGTTTTTTTTGAATACGCTATAAATAAAAATTGACATTATTATTATTTACTAATTCTATTAATTTACAAAAAACTGGTCACTATACTCGGATTTGCGTATGTAAAAAAACTTTTTAACAAAAAAATAAAAACCGACTTCAAACAAAAGCACCAAAAAGTTAAATATAACTGATTGGTAGTTTTCATTTACTATACATACCTAATCAAATATTTTCGAAGTCGGTGTGCTTATATTCTTATCATTGTTCTAACACTTCACCTATATCAACAAAATAGAGGCAGGAATAGCAATGTAATTGTCAGAAATTAAGCTTTGGCTAACGAAAGGCTACGTTACGTCACCTTCTTAGAGGCATTCATCAAGAGGGATTTAGATAGGGTAAAACCGCACACAAAATTGGTTAATAGAAATTTTCATTTGTATTAAAGATATTTCTAGAACAATAAGTAAATAAAAAAAAATATTTAAGTATATTCGTATTGAAAAATAGTTTAGTATCTCTTTCTTTTCTGCTTGTCCATTATTTTTTTATTTTTTATTTATTTAATAGCTATTGACAAGCTTTAGTGTTATTAATAAAAAAAATATTGGAAACATTCATTTATACTGATATGTAAATTCTATTCATACGTTTTGCTCAATTTTTCAATAATAATTATGATCGAATTATAATTAATTATACTTTTAAATAAGACTATCTTTTCGGATTTTTGTTTCGAAATCCGAAAAGATATTTTCTATAATAATAATGTAAGAAAGTATAATTATACTTTTTAAAAATTAAAACATCGTTTTTAACTACTATAGTGTTACAACGAATTAATTAACTAAAATGGAGGTTTCATCAGGAGACATTGAAATTTCTATATACTGATAGATAAATTTCTGGTTCCATCATCAGGTCATCTCCGCATTGTATGACCTATACACTCCTAATTTTAAATACACACTACAGTCTAAAAATCAAGTTGCTTAAAATCTAGTTTGGATTTATGTTTTAATAAACTTTCATTTTTTCCTTGTTTAGGTTTAGAGCATTCAGAGGGTCGCCTAAGGACTGGATTCTGAGGATTCGCTTTAAGAAATTCAAAGTTGGTACTCTCATAAATGGGACCACGTGTCATAAAGGATATATGCAGGTAACTGTAAACTGTATGTATAATAATAATTTATTTCATTTAACAACAAGTAATGATAATATACTAGGTTGAAATCCGCTTTAAGTAACAATACCTGTGGCAGAGAATTTGGCTCTTCCATAAATAGTAAGTTTTAAATGTGTAAAGGAAAATTTTCTACTTGATTTTTAGAATGTAATAGGGAAGAAATAAATATTTTTTTAGTTATTTTCTATTTATGTGTCTGAAAAAATATTTTTATGATACTAATTCTAAGAGAGAGAGATAAGTTCATTTTGTATGTATGTATTTAGACCTTTTTACGTCCCAATGCTACTTTGCACTTCGTAACATTCTGTACTGTAAAATATAAAAAAAGCTAATGCATACATCCAGACCGCGATAAATGTAAATATTGGTTTCAAGCGGGACTCGAACTCGTGACCTTAGACAAGAAAAAATATACAGAGTACTACGATACACGGTCATTAAATATAAGTAACATTTCCCATAAAAACAGTCATCTTTAAGTTATACTTTCAGTAAATGTACAAGTAGTGTTCACAGCATCCTTTACATCTCGCTAAATGTAGGACAGAAGCGGTTTCTAACGCCGTCGTCTCATTAACAGGATCTTTAGAAAGTATAGTTAAAGAGCGTGTAATGACCACAGAAATGACTTTACAGTTGTTTGTTTAGCCATTACGTAGGTACTTACTACGTATGATAAGAATAAAAATTATTACTTTAAATAATAATTATAATAATACTAGCGACTCACCCTTGCTCCGCTCGGGTTCGTCCCTAGCTCGTCGTAGTTTAAAAATAATAGATTTTCATACAAACTTTTAACCCCATTTGAACCCCGTTTTGAAGTAGAATTTCAAAAAATGAGATTCCCTACTTATTTAGCTGGCCAACCACCGCGTCTGTCTGTCTGTCTGAACGCGATAAACTCAAAAACTACCAAACAAATTTTCATATGATTTTTACTAATGGACGGATGGATTCATATGAAAGGCTTAGGTGTATAATTCATTTAGGTTTTGTGTAAAAATATCATGCCGACTGGGAGCTTTACTGGGGTGTGCCGTGTAAACTAATAGAGTTATATTATGAAAATAATGTATAACAGATATATCCGTACCTAGAGACGCACCCGAGCGAAGTGAGGGTAAATCGCTAGTACATTAATAAATATCTATACTAATAAATGAAGATCCGATTTTTTTATACTGCGATAACTACTGAACCGATCGGAATAATACTCATACTCGTACCATAAGATGCAGCGTGTTTCGGAAAAGGTTTTAGTCTAGTAATATAATAAAGAGGTAAAGTTTGTGAGTGTGTGACATTGTAGAGGGTAATCTCTGGATCTAATGAACCGATTTAGATGAAATTTGGTAAAAAGATAGTGTGAGAATCTGGGAAGGACATAGGGTACTCTTTATCCCGAAAATCATTCTCTAAGAGGGTGAAAATTGGGATGAAAATTTGTATGGGGAATCGAGCTAGGGACGAACCCGAGCGAAGCGAGGGTGAGTCGCTAGTATATGATATGTTGGTGATTAATGTACTGTACTGAGCCGCAGAAAAACGCTAGTGTGATATATAAGAAATATTAAAAAAGTATTCTAATAGCAGAAATTAATCCTCTAAATCTATAAAAAGTTGAAGTTACAAGCAAAACATTCAACTTTCATATATTCAGATTTTCTTTTGTGAAATTATATAGAAGGTGAACAAGCCAAGTGTTATTTGAACCGTTTCGATTAATTAGACGACTAGGAGATGTCAAACTGTAAGTTCCATTGAATTTGGTATTCAAATATGCATGTCGGTAAGATAAGGATGGTTTGAAAATCATTACCGTATTTTGACTATCGTTTGCTTGGAATCTATACAATTCCTTTAGATAGAGACTTTCTATATTTGTTATCGTTAATAGAAAACTTATAAATGGGAATATAGTATATTGATTTTATTTTGGGCGAATTATATAAATAATAGCAGAACCCGCGGCTTCGCTCGCGCTAAAACTACAAAAATATCTCTAAAAAGGTAGGTTTCATTAAAACTTTTATTCTCTATTTCACCCCCTTATAGGATGAATTTCGAAAAATGCTAAAAAATGTATTTATTAATTTGTACTGAAGAGTATTAATACTAAGTTTCAAGTAATTCTAATCACAAATATTTTTTTGGTTTGCATTATAACGTGTTTTCCCGTGGGAATAAAATAATCTTCCGCGGTAAAATGTAGCCTATGTCTCTGACTATGCCTAGCCTATGACTCTCCAGAACTCCAACTATTTTCACACAAAAAATCGCGTTAATCCGTCACTCTGCTTCGACGTGAAAGAAAGACAAACAAACAAACAAACAAACAAACACACTTTCACATTTATAATATTAGTATGGATTAAGCATAGCAACATTAAATGGAATCAATAATAATATTTTTTAGAAATATCTTAAAATTGTATATCATAAAATTAAATGAATTTAATATACATGTAATAAAATTGTAACTAAGTCGAATCTGTACATTAAATATTTTTTGAAAAATCTAATTGAAATAAACATTATTATCGATACAGAGGCCGAATCTATAGTTTTTAGAATTTATGTCTATCTGTCTGTCTGTCTGTCTGTCTGTTACCGCATCACGAGAAAACCACTAGAGCGATTTTGATGAAATTTGGTATGATGATAGTTGGTTATCCGGGTCAACATATAGGATACTTTTTACCGCGGGAAAATATCTCTTTTCTGAGAAAAAATACAAAAACTGCACTGTAAGAGTATACTAAAATGTAAAACCTAAGAATTTGGTTTTTGGTCATCTAAACGCGGGCGGAGCCGCGGGCAATGCTAGTAGATTATAAAAATAGCAACTCGATAATTTGTAATAACTACATAATATATAAAAACTTTTTAGACGACAATGTCCTTAGTCTCTCCCGTGACCATGTTTGCTGTACATATTCGAAACGTCAAAAAAAGTAAAAAAAGTGGGAAAACAGTTTATTATTACTAGCTGTATTTCCTTTGGTAAAAGACTTTCTGCAATTGTTAACAGAAAACTAAAGAATATATGGAAATGGCTTATTATTCTGATAACATGACGTCATAATATAAATATGACTGAGCATAGACGTAGTTTAGAAGTGCCGTTTCCATACAAATATATGTATTGTCTAGTATATGGATGTATGGCCCTAAATATCCTGAAAAAAATAAATAAAATAGGCTAACATTTATTTAAAGATTCTTGTTTGAAAGTGTTTTTTACGCACTGATTTTCTACCTTAGATAAAGAAATCGACGAAGTTAAATTTGATAGATTCTTTAATCAAAGTTTTGTGTCATTGAGATTATTATATTGCGTATAAAATACCTATAAATTTCAAATTCTGACCAATATTTTAGAGGCCAACTCAAAATCTTAATATAAAGGTATTTTAGTATCTTTTATGAATTGTAATAGCAGCTTTTTGATGTAAAATGACGACACATCTGACTCAGTTTGTAGTGACCCTACTTACTGTGCCAGCTGTCGCGGGTTCGAGTCCCGCTGAGGGCATTCATTTATGTGATGAGCACGAATGTTTGTATTCCAGTCATGGGTATTTATACTTAATGTATAATGTATTTAAAGTTATATATGTGTAGTGTATCAACTATCTGGTATCCTTAACACAAGCCTCGTAGCTTACCATGGAACTAGAAGGTGCTGCGTGTTAATGTCCCAACATAATTATTTATATTTATATTAATTACTATGTAACCTAGTTCGAACAATATTTACATATGTATTGAGTCTTTCAAAAGAATCTAGGGAAAGCAATGTATTGACTATCGCAGACTCTTAGCAATTATAGGGTGACCTAGATGTTTCATGTTATGTTGAAATTTTTATTGCATTCAACACTGTTGTAGAATTTGTTTGTATTTCCATGAAGTTATAAAAAAGCTCAATAAAATGCGTTGAAAATTATTTTTTAATATACTACATAATATGTACTTTATCGAGTTTGTTTAACTTTTAAGCTCCACTTATTTGATTTTATTACTTTAAAGCTACAATTCAATACATTCAATACAGTTATCAAATAAAAATATTTTTTCACATAATGATAAAAATATTATAGTATGAAATTGGATTAATACCTATAGTGTTCTTATAACTTTCTTTTATTTTTTTAATAATATATTTCATTTTGCTCAAAGGGAAATCCATTATATTGGAATACATTTTATATATTCAAAAATATCTATCGATACGTGTAAGGAATAACTTGGTAAGCGTAATTTACTTATAGGCGATTTCGAGGTCAAAATATTGTTGACAAAAAATGGTCTTACGCTCATTCCGATTACGATTTTCGCCACTGGAAAAAACTGTAAGTCAGCGACTTCTATACGTAATCTATACAATAATAAAATTCTAACTGAGTCGAATCTGTACATTAAATATTTTTTTGGATTTTTTTTGAAGTAGTCATTATTATTGATACAGAGGCCGAATCTATAGTTTTTAGAATTTTTGTCTGTCTGTCTGTCTGGGAATGCATGACGAGAAACCCACAGAACAGATTTTGATGAAATTTGGTATGATGATAGCTGGTTATCCGGGTCAACATATAGAATACTTTTTACTGCAGGAAAATATCTCATCTCTGACAAATCTATACTAACGTGAAAACGTAACTAGGGACGAACCCGAGCGGAGCGAGTGTTATTCGCTATTTATTTACATATTATATTTAGTTACACATACTTGCTGCCTGTCTTTATAAATATTACAAGTTACGTTCTTTTATTTCGAAAGAATGTTTTCGTATTAAATTAGCTTTTCTCGTAACCTCAGCTACAATGTCTTTATTTTCAAAGTAAGAGTTTTGATATTTTATTACTTTATTTGGAATAACTTAGTCAAATTAATATTTTTATTTTAGATATAAGTTTCTTATTAAACATATATATCATATTTATCATAAAATTCATAATATTTATGAAAGATACTGTTATTTACTTAAATAATTAAATCTTTTATATTAATATGTCGAATCTTTCATAAAGCTTATGTCATAAAGTTTCATTACAATTAAAAAAAAACATTAAATTGTATGTTCTACAATATAATATTAAAATTTAACATTCCAAACTTTGAAATGTGCGGGAATTCTTTATTTTATTAGGTCTTTCCGGAAACTTGAACACCATAACTTAAAGAAATAATAAATAGTGTCAGCCTCCTCAGAAGGAAATAAATTCATTTCATAGCAAAATAGTAAACAGTTTTAATCGATTTTCGGCAGTTCTAAATCTATACAATTAAGATGAATAAAACTAACAATCTATTATCAAACAGATTATGACAGGTTATACCTGAAAATTACTCCTTGGTAAATTTAACATTTATGTTTTGACTAAGACCAAATTGAAGCATTTATTGACACAAATTTTACTGAAAGAGAACTATGATAAAACTGAGCAATTCCTTAAAATATAAATTTTGATAATATCCTTGAAATGAAATTTAAAAAAGTACGTTTATAAAAATGAAGTTTAAAAAAGTAGTAACCTATATATTATTGTCTAGTTTACATGACACACACACATACGAACACACATGCACACACATGCACACACGCGCACACACACACACATATCGTAAATGTTATTTAATTTAAGTTTAGTTTTGCACTACCTTGCAACTATTTGTAACGCATATTGTATACGTCAATAAATATCTTTTCATTTATTTTTTTTCATTTTTTTAATATGACTGACTTCATTATCAAAAGGGCTTATTATTCCCAATTAACAATCTAAAGGTGGCGCAAAAACATGTCAAGAATGAAATTATGCTAAGTAAAACAGAAAGCCAAAGTCCATAAGACGAAAATCAGCAGGCACGAAGAAGTAATTGAGTTGGCGAGCGCTTTACCAATTCAACTAATTAATTTCTGAACTCCGCAAACTAAAAGAACTCCCAACTCTGAGAACCAATTCGGATGGATAATTATTCGATCATTCCCCTGTCGTGATTTCGGAAATTCGAAAGTAAAGTTTGCCTTTATAGAATTATTTGGTATGCCGGAAATGAATGATGTATCGTTTTGTTTAAAGTTGCTATTTTTTTTTAATTTATATCTGCTATTTGTTATGTAGAGTGACAATGAAATATTTTATCAGCTATCTTTTGTTATATATAAATAAATAATAATGCTTATTTTTACGTAAAACAACAAAAAAATGAACACGGTCTTCACACACGTACGTCGTACATAATATGAAGAATATAAGTGTGTAAATACCTTTATATACTCTGTAGAATCTTCATACCAAAGCAGTGAGTTAAAATGTTACAAACTATGTAACTAGTTTTAATTTTCTTAATATTATTATTATAATGTTAATTAAATCGCATTAGTTAAGATTATATAAAAATTAAAACAAAATTCTACTTCATATTAAACGCTTAAATTCTTTAAAAATTAAAAAAAAAATTATCATTAATTTTTCAATAACTTGTTTTAGTAACTTATCATTTAAGAGCTAGATCCACAGACAGACAAATGGACAGTTTAGACATCCTCCACTCTCGTTAGTGGTTAAAATGTATAACAATAAGTTAACGCATCTATCACAATTGATAAATAGCCAAAAATATTGTAGCTTTATTGTTACAGTGTTTGGAAGAAATTTTCATATATCATATATTTAGATTCGATAAAGAGAACGCCATGTTATTTCAGATATATTTATTCGGACACAGTAAAATTTATTTACGGCGGCAGAACGCAGCTATCAAATAACGCCTACAGGCGCGCAAAATCTTTATCTATACATATAATAAAATTCTGAGTCGAATCTGTACATTAAATATATTTTTTGGAAAATCTTATTGAAATAGTCATTATTATCAATACAGAGGCCAAATCTACGAGTATAGTTTTTAGAATTTTTGTCTGTTTATCTAGGACCGCATTACGAGAAAACCACTAGATGGATTTTTATGAAATTTGGTATGGTGATAGCTGATTGTCCGGGTCAATATTTAGGATAATTTTTAGTGTGGGAAAATAAATCATCTCTGAGAAATCTATACTAACTGTTAAAACGTACCTAGAGAGGAACCAGAGCGGAGTGAGGGTGGGCCGCTAGTCTATGAATATATGTTTATTAGGTAATTTCAATATAAAGTACATTATATTATTTATTTTGACAATAAGCCTATTAAAATATTTAAAGTAGAATTTATTTCATTAGTATACATATATTTTTATGTTTATAAAATAAATGTTTTTTACAATTTTGCAATAATATTTTTACTAAAAAGCCTTTTTGAGTTGTTTTATATCACATCGTCATGACGGCTTTGACATAAAGTGTGTATGTACGTATGGTTATTACTCCTTTATGGTGTATTCAGCTCTTTTTAATGTCCCCCTGCTAAGCACGGGCCTCCCTTCAATACGAGGGGGACCATGCCATAGTTCACCACACTGGCCAAATGCGTATTGGTGGATCTTTTGGTAATGCTCTCAGGTTTTCTCATAATGTTTTTCTTCACCGTAAGACAAGTGGTAATCATGTTGAAAATGACTCACACATAAAAATATCAGAAGTGCGAGAACCGGGATTTGAACCCGCTTCACTCGGTTTCCCAAGCGACCACTGCCCCTTTACTATTAATTAGCAATAACAGACACACATACAAATCGAAATTACATGTAAATGTGTATTATTTATACAAATAGAATACATTTTATCTAATAAAGAATCCTTTTGAAATATATTCTTACATAATAAACCCCTTTCAGATAGTGGACGGAAACGCAAAAACCGACGTATCCAATAGAAAGGAGCCGGGACTCTTTTGCGGGGAGATAGAGCAACCGCAAACCTTTATATCAGAGACTAACTTCGTAAAGATAGTTTTTCATGCAGATAATTTCACCGACCAAACGTACTTCAGCTTCGATTCGAGGTAAGTGTTGATATCTATACATATAATAAAATTGTAACTAAGTCGAATCTATACATTAGATATTTATTGGAAAATCCTATTGAAATAAACATTATTATCGCTACAGAGGCCGAATCTGTAGTTTTTAGAATTTTTGTCTGTCTGTCTGTCTGTTACCGTATCACGGAAATACCACTGGTGGGATTTTGATGAGTTATGGTGATAGCTAGTTATCCGGGTCAACATATAGGATACTTTTTACCGCGTAAAAATATCTCATTTCTGAGAACAAATACAAAAACTGTAATGTAAGAGTATACTAATATGTAAAACTTAAGAATTTGGTTTTTAGTCACCTGAACGCCGACGGAGCCGCGGACAATGCTAGTATCATAATAAATACTTTACTATTAAAAAACTTTTTTAATGTTTTACCTTTATCCACTATTTTTCAATCGATTTTCTTTTTTTTTGTTTTGTATGAAGAGCTTTTAAAGAGCTTTAGTGTGATCAATAAAAAAATTGGAAACAGTTTTTTTTTATATAGGTATGTAAATTCTATTCATATATTATGTTTTCAATAATGAATATGATCTAATTTTGATCACTCAGCGAACACTGTACGAACTTTGTATGTTTGTTATCATAAACACTCAATTTACAGTTATAATAAATTCTTTACTTTTTTATTTTAGGTTCCATCGTTCCTTAACATAAGTTTCTTTCGACAGTTAAGTTTAGATATTAATATCAAGTCCAGCACATAGCTTAGAGATGCAGTACTTACTGGGGTTTAAATCGGTCTTAAGACCTTATGATATAACCAGACAGTTCACAATGCCATTATACGGTATATTATAATAAAGCCGATTGTAGTTTCCATAAGGCTGATAAAAAATGCAAATAGTTTATGAGACAATTTTATAACTAATCTAGGCTACTTTATAACCCAGCATTTAATTAAAGTTCAGTAGGAGATTACGTTTAAATATATGGAATGAAATTACTGAAGAAAGTGCAAAGATTTTTAAATTATTTAAACATTCAAGTCTTAGACCTTAGATAAGATGTCATTAAAAATTTGCATTAAAATAACAATATTTTTATGTCATTGAATTATAATAAATCATTTTCATGTTATTTTGTACTAGTGATTTTCCCTCGCTTCGCTTCGAATTCGTACTTAGACAAAAACAAACCTATCTCACGGGAACCAAATATTTTTCCGGGATAAAAAGTAACCTATGTATTATTCAAGACTATACTCTATCTCTGTGTCTTTCATTCGGATTCGTTCAGCCGTTCTGGTGTCAATGAGTAACAAATATCCATCCATCCTCACAAGCATCATATTTATGATATTAGTATAGATTGGTTTTTATTCTTCAACGATTGTATTATAGACTACTTTCATCCTTATGTTCACCCCCCTGAGGGATGATTTCCGAGATAAAAAATATCCTATGTCCTTCCCAGGATCTTAAACTATCTTCTAACCAAATTTCATCTAAATCGATTTAGTAGATCCAGAGATTAACCCCTATAACGTCACAAACTCACAAACTTTACCTCTTTATAATATTAGTATAGATTAATATCTTATGCAATCCTCCTTGTTCGATGTATTTGATAAAAAATAAACAAAAGATAGATAATATTTGACAAAAATATCTGTACATGTTCGACGGTGTAAATGTCTAATAAAGCTCTGACTCGAGTTCACAATAAATCGCCATATAATATTTTAATCAAACCACCTCTTTAACTTAACCGGTTGTTAAGTTATTTAGTTTAATAAATGATTGTTTTCATATTCGCCTTTGATTCGTAAAATTTAATTAAATAGAACTCACATATAATAAGAATTTATACAGAAATCGTCAAAGGAGAACGAGGAATTTTAAATGGTAGAGTAATTTGTGGAATAGTTTGAATGCTTTGTAGATTAAATTTGACTATGAATTACAAATTATAATAACTTTATTTACTGTTTTGTTATTTTTAATAGAAACAAAAGTTTTTGTAACTACTTTTTAACTTTTATGACTTTGAGTAAAAACTTCGATTTCTCTTTATGTTAAAGTATGTGTCATTTTAATGTGACATCATCGCCATCTTTTGTCAAATTTTATTTCTAATAATAATCTTATTCCAAGTCTATCTACGAGTATATACTAAACCTTCGTTCCCATTTTGACTTATTACCAATCCCAACACGTTCCAAGAGATCTTGCATTGCTTCTACGTTTGACATTCGTAGGAGCAACATCAAATTCCGACCAAATTCTTTTTCCGTCCATGCCGCAGTACTTTGGAAGAAACTGCCCAAAATCATTCACAAGAACCCATGTACCTATATTTTTCAAATTGATTTGATTGAAATTGATGTTTAATGTTAAATATATGTATGTATTACATATTATATAGGTAGAATTGTTATATTAAGTAATATAATTATATAAATATATATATATATGTATATATATATATATATCTATATATATATATATATATATGTATATATATATATTATGTATATAATATATATATATATATATATAAATTCATTTCTTGCACTATACATATTACCCGCTGACATCTACGATATCCAGGGGTTGACTGGTTTGTTAACTAAGTTTATTGTTTTTGTGTTTTTCTAAGTGCAATGAAAAATATAATAAATTTCATCCAAATTATACAAACATACAAACTTTGGCATTTATTATACACTTCGTAGTGTTATTTATGTTTACCTACGAAATATTAAACAAATAAATTGCTCTTGTCTACAGAACAAATACGTTTTCGTTTCAATTTTTTAATTTTTCCTGTTCAGAAACAGATTCTAATTGATTTTTAGCTCTTATTGTATTCTTAGCATCCTCAAACTGTCTATAAAAGAGTCTTTGATATACAATTCCGTTATTTTCGTACATAAGTAGTACTTAAAGTATATATCTTTCTTGTTGACCGACTTTAAAAGAAAGAAGGAATTAATCGAATCACCAACTGTAAATCGATTTTTGTTTTGGTTGTGGCAAACTGGAAGGATCATACCCTATGATATTTTTTTTAATTTCTTTATTTTCATTTTTTTTATTTATACCCATTTTCAAATAATAATTCATACCGTCATCATCTAATCAAACCATACATTTTGTAGGACGAATATTCTAATAATTTAGATAATTATCTTGAGATTTAACAAAAAAAACCTACAGTTAGTAATAAATTTATGAGAATCGTCAAATCGACATATTTTATCCCTGATACCCGTTAGCTACCATAATCGAGAATTTTTGTTAGAGAAAAAGTTGGACGTCTCATCAAAATGAAGCTTATCACGGAAAATTAGCTTGATACTAATCAATTGTAAAAATATACCAGGGATCCCGGACTTATATACAGTATAATTAAAATAAGGACCTCGAAAGGCGGAATAAGAATTTAAACTATTTTTTTTTATTCATACCTAATTTTTTCACACCGACCTTTTTTAGTTCAATAATAATTAATTAATCATATCGACAGTGTGCCGGAGAGTACGTGCGAGTGAGAGTGCTCTAAATATAATAAATATAATGCAATTTGTTTGTCTATATGTAAGTTTTTGTGAAATAAGTAACACGTTATTTATTTGCAGGGCAGAACAGCAGTTCGAGGTTTATCTACGATATGGCCAACATCCGGAGCTGTATCCCAACAGACGTGGAGAAGTTGTCGCTGGGTGAGTCTATACAAATTTTAAAATCTCCGCTTTGTTAAGTCAAGTGGATATTCCGTAAAACTATGTATATTTGACGACATGCTTGGCTCAGTTTGTAGTACTTAACCCTACTTGCTGTGTCAGCGGCACGGGTTCGAGTCATGCTAGAGCATTCATCGATGAGCACGAATGTTTGTATTCCAGTCATGGGTCAGTATTTACAATATGTATGTATTAAAAGTAAAATATGTGTTGTCTATCAACTGTCTGATATCCATATCACAAGCCTCGTAGCTTACCATGGAACTAGATGGTGCTGCGTGTTAATGTCCCAACATATTTATTTATTTATATTTAATTTTATTATATGAAAACATTATTATTATAAACAGCCTCAATATTTTCATACCTTTCCTAAGAACACATATGGATTGTATAGAATACTCTCGTATATCATTAGGTGTATGCTATCTGTTCGAAGCTTATCAGCCGTTATCGCAGCGCTATTAACCCATTACAATGATCATTTTCTATTTTAATCAAACAATACATTATTTAGATGAATTAGGGTTGTTACCTTTGAATTTATTTATATCTAGTGTTTTTGTGAGTACTTAAATATAGATTAGTTATGACTTAAGCCTATCTTTACTAAGGACGCGGGTTCGAATCGAATTTGAAGCAAATTATTGTATTAACCATTAAGTACTGGCTAATATTATACATCTATAAGCTTAGATGTTTGGATAGTTTTTATTATTTTTTATATAATTGTTACTCAATCACGCCAGAACGACAGAACGGATCTGGATCAAATTTGGCACAGAGATAGATTATAGCCTGGATAAGCACTTTTTATCCCAGAAAAAGGACGGTTCCCATGGGATAGATTTGTTTTAGTTTTTGTAGAGGCAAGACCAAGCGAAGGTTAGCCGCTAGTGCTTTATATGTTTTTACGTCTATTTAATAAATATTGCCTTCAAAAGAAAAAGATGAAACATAGTGAGATCTGCCGCTTCGCTGGCTATTATTAGGCAAGTTCTACAATCGATATTGTCAACTACTAATAGAAAATTTAAAAATTTGAGCTAATACATGAGATTCACCGGACTACTAATAAAAATACGAAACTTTGTATGTGTGTTTGTGTACCTACGTAAGTTACTTATTTACAAACTACTCGAATGATTTGGACGTTTAGCCCACAAATAGAATATGACCTTAATTAACACTACTCAACACTAGTCATGCATATACCTATCTAAATTAATCTATACAAATAAATAAAATTGAAGTGTCTGTTTGTAATGTCAAAATAACAACTTTTTACTAAATAATATACGGTATTTATATGAAAAACACAATTTTTAAATTTTTTGTCTGTCTGTCTGTCTGTTCGTCTGCTTGATCCAGATAATCTCCAAAACAGCTAAACTGATTTGGACGGCATATTCACTGGTAGATAGCTGATGTTATAAGGAGCAACTTGACTACTTTTATTTTAGAAAATGAATTAAGATTCCGCTCAAAAAAATTAAAACGTAGCTACGAACGCACCCGAGCGAAGCGAGGGTAAGTCGCCAGTAGTGGCTATGGCTAACTATACTGTGCATAACTTAATTTGCAACTTCATACTTTTCTTGTCTCAGCCCAAACACGTCCACTGTTGGAAATAGGCCTCCCCCAAAGATGTCCACGATAACCGGTCTTGTGTCATCCGCATCTAATGGGCTCCAGCGACCTTGACCAAGTCGTCGGTCCATATATACAATAATATATTATTATTCTTCATACTATGCAATAATGTATAACTATATAACGAAATGAGAATAAAAATATGTATCTATCTACTGATAGATTTCAACCCTACAAATCTCGTGGTATCTCAGTTAGATAATCACAGAACAGCAATTTCAATTCATTATCGTTCAATAATACGGCTCCTAATCCATATACGTTTTCCAATATTGGAGTTAGATTAGATTACGTTCCTATTCCACTATAGAAAAACAGTTTCCAAACGTACCAATCGATATATAGTCTATTGGGAGTGGCTTCGATTTTTTTTATTATATTTGTTTTCAGACTTTTTAACATCCCACTGTTGGGCACGTGCTTAGCATATAATTAGTTTAAAGGCTACTATATCTATACATATAATAAACTTTTGGGTCGAATCTGTACAATAAATATTTTTTTGGAAAATCGAAGAAAAGAGGCCGAATCTAATAGTTTTTATATTTTTTGCCTGTCTGTCTGTTTGTGACCGTATCACGAGAAAACCTCTGGACAGATTTTGATGAAATTTAGTATGATGATAGCAGGTTATCCAGGTCAACATATACGCTACTTTTTACTGCGGAAAAATATCTTCTCTCTGAGAAATCTACACTAAACGTTAAAACGTAACAAATACGTTATAAATAAGGGTGTGTCTCTTTGGCGATCTTTTTTGCAAAAATAGAACTATGAATTTAAGTGCTTTTTTCGGAAAGAGATAGTTTATGACCGGGAAGCTCCATAGCGTGCTATTTGTTTCGTTACACGAAGTAGCTCCCGTGGGGTATTTATATATTGTAAAAAGTCTCCAGTAATATATATATAAGCACAGCAACTATAAAATCAACACTTTACCCGTAGTATAGTTTTTTTTGTTATATAACAAAAAAGCAAACTGTCCTATCTGTCTGTGCATAATTTCCTTTATAATAACTAAAGTTCACTCGAATACACGTACTTTAAACTTAATAAAAATATGTGTAGTTATTATTTTTAAATTCTATTAAAATAACAATTCTTACCTACAAATTCGAATATTAAAATTATGATTAATATATATTATAACCAATATAAACTTTGAGGGTAATGCCACTTCTGTCTACTTCGAACATCTTTGTCCTAAGCAAGCGTTTCATTGCAAAATGTTCAATGAGTACCCACGCTTTGATGTTCCCCTGCAATTTGGTTAGCAATTTGAATACGTACAATACGTGAGTCGTATAGTTATAAGGACAGTTTTGTTTAAGCATTTCGTTGTGAATTCTGTGAAGTAACTGCTTTGACTTTGAGACATTTCGAGACTGTCATTTAAGTTTAGATACTGCATAATTTATTAATATTAAGTTATAAATATGAATTAGATTATTATTCACATTTTGACATATACGATAAGCACACCCGGCGTTGCTGTGTGCACTTATAAGTTCGTTATTTAATTATTATTTACTATCAGAACCCACGGCTTCGCTTGCGCTAAAACTACAAAAAAACTCTAAAAAGGTAGGTTTCATACAAACTTTCATCCCCCATTTTACCCTCTGGGATGTTACTATAACAACGATACAACGTCACAAACTCACAAACTTTACCTCTTTCTAATATTACTAGCAAAACCCGCAGCTTCGCTCGCGTTAAAACTACCAAAAATCTTTAAAAAAGTAGTTTAATATAAACTTTCATCCCCTATTTCACCCTCTTATAGGATGAATTTCGAAAAATGCTAAAACACGTATTAATTTTATTTAAGAGCATCAGTACCGAATTTCAAGTAATACTGCTCATAAATATTTTTTCATTATTATTTTCTTATAAATGATGAGTCAGATATAATATTTGCTTTTACTTCATACTTCGAGAGCCATTTCTTTTAGAAAGAAGGCATATGCCATGTCTAGCTTTTGTCAATTTTGTTATATACATTTATAAGCAAGTGATTAATTCCTAATTATAATATGTATTATGTATTAGTTTCATACTTCAAAGGAAGCGTAATGTAATTAGTACCATAATTGTATTTACTCCTCAAAAGACGAGTATAAAAAATACTACCTTATATTTTATTATAAACTTATATTTTCTATACAGCTTTCTATATAAAACTTATGATTGTGAAAAAGTTTTTTTTGCTAATGAGAACCTTCAACTACCAAAAAGAACATCATTGCCAACTACTATGATCTACACTATACGTTTATTTTTTACTAAGGGCTGTATATAATAATTTCTTTATTTTACAAAACAACATTTTCATTTTAATTCATATGTACCTGGGCGACCGAGCTTCGTTCGGAGTTCTTTTTTGTTATATTTTATTTTTTGTATAAAAAAAAACGAAAAACTTGAATAAATACAAAAAAAACAAGTTTATAATTTTGTATCCGATCGGGATTCGAACTCGGACACCTGTGATTGTCAATCTTGCGCCTTAGCCACTTGACCACGATGCTTATGCTCGAAATAAAACCGCATGAAAAATCGAAAACACGCCGTTTTCCGAGAAATAAGACTAACCTAGATCAATTTTTCGGCCCCGAAAACCGCCACGTACCAAACAGCGAAATCGTTAGAGCCGTTTCTGAGATCGCCGATATAAATAAAAAAATGTACAAGAATTGCTCGTTTAAATATATTACATATAAGTACAAGAATATTTTCTTAGATATAAGCTATACAGAATAAAAATTACTATCAAATATAAAAGTGACTTAGACTTTAACATTTACACAACTTTTTAAAAATTGCAAATGATTGAAACGAGAGCCCATAAAAAATCCCATCATTGTAATGAATTTACGAAACCAAAATATTACATTATACATCAACCAATAATTACAAGGGCCTGTAATGTCACCACAACCATTTTCAAGTCTCCAAATGGCCGCCACTAAGGCCAGCACGTGACCGTAATAGCGAATAAATCGCGAAGTAGCGCTAGTTCGGCCTATTGCAGTCTGATTTATATCTATAATCATGAGAACGAGTAACAATAATTGTTGTTCAAATTACTTTAAGTTTTCTTTAGTATGTCTTTTTAACCGACTTCCAAAAAGGAGGAGGTTCTCAATTCGTCAGAATCTTTTTTTTGTATGTATGTTCACCGATTAGTCGAAGACACCTGAACCGATTTGGATATATATATTTTTTTGTTTCAAAGTTTTTTGTTTTTTTTAAAGTAATTTCTTTCATCGAATATGTTATTAAAAACGTTCTTACAAATTACATGCTTTTTACATCCACACTAA